CAGACAGTAGGCCGAAACGTACCACCCTTCAGCCAACACGACTCGGAGAGCGAAGATGGTCACCACTGCGGCCAACGAGGCCCATCGCGACTTGGCCCATATAGTAGTTTTATCTAGATATTGATGAAAACTTTGGCGGACCTCATGCATGATTTAAAATTTGATTTCTCACTTGCGCCCGGCCGGATAGCCACCAGTTCATTGTGCATTAAGCGAAAGGACCAGCTGTTAAGACAAGACTGGGGGGTGGATACGGCCACTCAGTCCGTCAAGGGCTAGACCGTCGGGAGGGAGACGGGGGTGACTGACTTAGAGGCACGGGGACCTGGGCCAAGGGCGCCGAGACTCGGAGGCCAAGGCCTGTCTCCCCGGTCGCGGAGGAATCGCGTGTGGGCACCTCCGAAGGGTGGTCTCGACTGGACCGGGAGTGGTCTCGATTTTTGGCAGTCGATTGGGCGCCAGTAGACTGGAAGCCAGTAGACTGGAAGCCAGTAGACTGGAAGAGGGATATGGTTCGTCGCAGTTGACTCCTGACCTTCTTAGCGATGCCGTGACCGCTCACAGACCGGGTCAGGGGCGGAGGAGGGGCTCTGAAAGGGCGATCGTGGATACCTTCGTCGAGATTGTCACAGTCGACACCGTGGCTTTCCACACCATGGTTCTCGAAAGCGTCCCGCTCAAGAGCTGGGAACAAGGGAACGAAGCCCGAGGGGTCCAGGTCGGGCTCAGGGCCCGGGACTGTTTCGGATCGGGCCGTCCACGGAGCCACTTGCAGGGGGACAGCGTTGGAGCAAGTAACGGTAGGGTCGTACTGAATCGTAGTCTGATGGGTCATGAGTGGCGGGTGGATGATGAGCCGCTGGGTGCCAACTCGGCGGCCGCTGACTCTACGCACGAATTTGCGCAGTGAGGAGGTCTTGCGCAACCGCTTGAGCTTAGCGCCGATACTTGCGTCGCCCGCGGCCGCGGAACAGACTTGGTCGGGTGGTCGCACACCCGGGTGGACAGCACTGGCGGCGCGACTGGGTCTTGCCGGCGACCGGAGTCTGGTCTTGAGGCAGCGCGGACTGTCACTAGCACCCGAGGGGTTGAGACCAGCACGGTTGAGAAGCATAGGGTCCAGAACTAGGGGGTCGGGGTCCAGTAAGAGGGCCGAGGTGGAGGGTCCTCCGCCGACGGTGTGCCGCGAAGACACGTTGGCGGACCCGGAGGCGGTAAAGAACTCATCGCGGGGGCTCGATGACGCTGCACCTGTTGGTTGCAGCGCATGGAGGCACCGGCTGGCACGAGTCTTCGCCGACCCTGCGGGCAACTGCGGACTGCATGAGACCCAACGGGTCCCCCAACAGGCACCTACACAAGTGTCCGCACAGACGACCGAAGCCTCGGTCCAGACCGGACTTCGTGGACCAGCTTCGTCAGGATGAGATATATATGGGGAAGACTTAGATGGAGAAGACCCACAGCGGGAAGACTGTCCGGGAGAAGGCCGTCCGGGTGACTCTCTGTAGGGGGGAGAGCCCCCGGGGGACGCCGAAATGGACACAGATCGGGACAAGGAGGAGTGGGCCGGCATGCGGTGCATCCTGACCCGTGCCACAGTGCATAGGCCGTTGCAGTCCGTGCCCACCTCGGGGCTGCGGCAACTCGGAACCGGGGAGGCCGCGGCGAGATCGGTGGTTCGAAGCTTCTCTTCGTCTTCGATGTATACCGGACTCGCGAGACGCGATTTGAGATGCAATGGAAACAACACACCCGTTTGCTCAGACTTCATCCTCAGATACGACGACCCCGACCTCAAACTGGGCCCGCTAGACCCTGGTCCACTTGACCCTGGTCCACTTGACCTTAGTCGGCAATGTCGTGGACCGCTGGACTTGGGCCCGTCGGAGGCGAGTGCCTTTCGCGAACTGGCTGTGGCGCCGCAGTGGCTGCATCTAAAGTCGTCGTTGAGCAGAAAGTCGTGACTCCTCAGCGAGAGCGGCGAAACACTGGGCGTTAGTAGGATCCGCGGGACAGCGTTGCTGGACTTCTGACGCTCTAGGGCCTGCAGCTCCGCAATGAGGTACCCGTTGTCCTGCGTCAAACGGTCGATGGTTCGGTTTTGCTCGGCCAATCGCTGGTTCAGTTCATCAACATGTGTAGCGGTGGTCTCAGTTTGTCTTATTAGCTTGTGTAGGCTCATGTGCAATTCGTGAAAGTCCACAACCTCTTCTTCCGGAGAAAGACCTTCACCAACCAGACGACCGTCGGCAGATGGACCATTAGGAGCACGGCCGTTGTTAAGACCGTCGGCAGCGAGCTCTCTTAGTTCACTGACTTCAGGGTAAACATTTGCTGAAGATATTTCATTGGTGAGAGTCCGCTTAGACGAAATAGTCGGTGACTCTTCTCGCCACAGGAGCGGTGAGAATTGCGCAGCCGGGCCGACTTTCTGAAGGTTACTCAGCGCCTGCTCTACCAAGCTGGTTGCGACCCAAGTCATGGAACAACTTGCGTGTTGGCACTCGACGGGATGATGATGGTATGAATTTCGGAACTAAATTGCCACTGGGAAGATATCTTGTCCTGCTGGACGCAAGTCGGCTCGAGGCCGAGGGCTGGGCGCAGGAACCAACGAACGCATGCAAGTCACACTGAAGGAAGAGCGGCCAGCACAGGGAACTGTGCCGAGGATTTTTTGGCGAAATATGATAAAGGGCGAAGAGCCGGTCGCCGGGGCCGAGGGAGAGTCGGTAGTTGACTTGTGTGGCCAAATTACAAGGTACTTGAACGAACGCCATTTTAGTTCTGCCGCAGCGTTCGTGCACAAGACTCTGCAAACTTTCAGAAACAACGATACAGGTAACCGGAATGACGGGAATCGCGGAGTCTAGCGAATGGGAATCGCGGCGTCTAGCGAATGGGAACCGCGCCGTCGAGCGCCTCCGGTGGTGGTGTATGTCAGGGCACACCTATATGTGGCGACCCCTTGGCCCAACCATTGGTGTGCCCACTCGTCCACGTTTGTGCACGCATATTTGGTGTGTGCACACACTCCGTTTGCGGTCGGTGAATGTTGTCGCCTTAGATCCGTCTTCGCCTTTCTTGATGTTGCGGTTTCTGTTGCTGGGTTGTGTGGGAGCTTTACAGGCGATGTTCGAGGGTGGTGGTCAGGACATGTCGCCGTTGATCCGGGTGGCGAGTTCTTTGTTGGAGAAGGCAGAGTTATATTGCGGCGGTGGGAAGCGATTGAACGTGGTGCTGGGTCGTAGTTTCCCATACTTTACGGCGGGTGTGGAGAAGCGTTTCGTCTTGGAAAAGGCGTTTCCCGATGCCGCTGCTCAGAAAGCGTATTTGGACAGCGCTGCAAGAGTGTTGGGACTGTTACACTCCTTATTAGCGTTGGGCAAGGCACTGAGTCATTGCACGGAGAAGGACGACAGCAACCGGTTGCTGGTATATGACTTGATGGCGGAAGCGTCATGTTGGTTGGGCGCCTTGCGGAGTCCCGAAAAGATTTACGTGTCTGCGGTCTTGGCTGCTGTGGAGGGCAATTGGAAGCAGACACTGGAATTGTTGGAGAAGGGATCTAAGAAGAAAAGCCGAGTGGAAGCGCCTGAGGTTAGTGCATTGCGTGCGATTTTGGAGATGTTAGTGGGTACGATCCCATCTATTCCAGAGAGTCTGCCGGTGGCTGCGGATTTGAGACATTTGGCTAGTCGGTGTAATTTGTTGGGTATGAAATTGCTGTTGCCGGACTCGGAGCTGCCGCCCACTTCTATCGGTGGCTTGTTGGAGCTCGCTGACCGGCTGTTCGTTCTCAAAAAGTACACGGAGGCCACTGTATTACTTGACCGGTGCGAAGAGGTATTGGCCGCCGGTTCGGATAAGCGAGTACGACTTGAACGCTGCGGAATCCGTAACTACCGCGCTGAACTTCTGTATCAACGCGGCCGACTGCGCCACGTACGAAACGAGCGCGAGAACGCACTCCACATGTACGAAGCCTGTCTTAATTATTGCCCGCAACATTTACCAGCTCTGTACCAATTGCAACGACTCCGCGCTCCACCCTCAGACAAACCTCTGGCCGCCATGGAGAACGTCTGCAAAGAGGCCTGCCGCTCCCTCGCAGCCGTTACTCTCCTAAGGAACGCCTGTTCCAAGACAAGCTTCTCACCGGATGAATCCAAAGCCGTGATGCAGGCCTTCGTATCCGACGATGATCTGGAGGCGCTCAGACTTAAAATTGAAGCCCTCATGTGCATCACCGAGAAAGGCTGCGGTGGCACCGAAGCCTCCCGTTGCGCTAGCGAGAACTTAATGAAGCTTATGCAGCATTCGGCACTCTCTGTCCCGGCGGCTGAAAGACACACACTTCTGAAACAACTACACGAAAAACTCGACCTGCACTCCGGTACTGGAGTTGAATCCGCTACTGGAGTTGACACCGGTTCCGGAGCTGGCATGGATTCCGGAGCCAGCCCTCAGGCAAGAGGGGATGGCTCAAACGGTGTGTTGTCCGAAGGCATTCCCGGCTCCGTAGGAAACCCCGGCGATAACGGTGGTGCTGTTGAGATGGCCGATGAAGAAGACTTGTTTGGAGAAACCGCCGCAATCGACAACAGGTCTGAAGCGGGTAGACCTAGTGGGGGCAGTCCAGCAAACGATGGCGCTGCGAACGGTGGCGTGCTTACGACTAGAGGAGAGCAGCGGTCATTGACGGAGGCGGACGTAGTGTACTTGGTGTTGATGCGTCGCACGATTCCGTTGGACTGGGTAATTCTGTACGCGAAGTTTACAACGGCGAGCGGAAGTTGCAACGTGGCGACTTGGGACGTAATTCGGCGGTTTGCGAAGCATCGGGGGGGAGAGGAAGGTGCGGAGATTGGCACGTTAACAGCATTGTATTCTTCGGGACGGTACGATGAGCTGCATAGTCGGTTAAAAAAAGTGGTGCAGGCGAAGAACGAATTAAGTCGTTGTCGAGAGGTGGTAGTGTTACGTATATTACATCACCTGGTGCGCGGGGAAGTCCAGTTTGCACGACAGATTGTAGAGCGGGCCTTGTCTTACGTAGATGGCCAGACAGTGGCCTCAGGTGGCCAGTCTCCATTCCATTGGCAAACATATGCTATCTATGTAGACCTGCTTGTATTGACACGGATCGGATCACATAGGTCACCACTGAAATGCAAAACAAAGGAATTGCTTGAGCACATCTTCAAGAAAGATAGCAAGCGCCGAAGAGATGATCTTACCGCTGCCCCCATGCCGACTACTCTTCGGTCTCGAATACAGACCTTAATTGGCTGGATTCTGGTTCTGCAAGGAAGGAAGCTGAAATCCGCTGAAAAACGCCAATCCGGATCCGGGGCTGCTGCTAAGTTCACTGAAGCCAAAAATCTAGGAATGCAAGCCGTTCGAGCCTGTCCGCAAAACTGGCGGGCGGCCTTTGTTGTTGCTGAAGCATGTAAGGGACTTAGAGACTATGCTATTGCTAACAAGATCTTCACACTGGTCGGAGATTGCGTTGTAGGCAGCCAGTCACTGTCCAGCTGGAGAGAGAAGGCCTGGCTCGATGACGCCTTAATGAGGGAGACGGCCTACTCACTCTCATCCGTTAAACCTGCACCCATCGCCAGCCAGGGAAAGCTAATTCGCGCGGCTCAAAGCATCGTCGATACCGATGGACTCTCCACGCAATCCTTCCTCACCAAACTAGCCGCTAGCGTCAAAGACCCGAGACTAGCCAACGTCGTATTCCACATCATTCTACAGTACAAACAGACCCACAAAATTGGACTGCCCCTCACCAACGCTCTAGCCCATGTAGGCACACTCGCCTGCCTCGAAAGAGCCAAGGAAACAGAAAGCATTAAAAATCCTAAAATACTCTCTGATCTCATTTCGGACGCCGAAAAAGTCGCTGAGGCCTACAGGACTGTACTCACGCAAAAACAACTCGCTGAAAAGGTACCCGACGTATTCGTACCTCACGGAAAAGGAGCCCTCGCTTATCTTGTCTCTCTTGACCAACCCGTCGTCGGACCCCTATACGACGATGACGCAAAACTCGCCACTGACATGGAGGATGTCGTCACTAAGGACATACTCGAAGATCTACCACGCACCGAGAGCCTCCGGAGAAAACTCGAACAAGACATCGAAGCCCTCATTGAACGCCTGAAGGATCTACAACCTCTTGTAAGACACGAATACGCCACGGCATGCGCCGTACGCGAAGAGCGGCTGAGAGAAAATGATAAAATCCTCAAAGACCTAGAAGACAAAACCGCTATCGAAGACCCTATTGTTTTCGGCTTTGGAGGCGCCACCTAGATGAAGCGCACGCGTGTGCGACGCCCATTTTCCAGATTGCGCTAAATTATCCGCCAATTAACGATTGCACACACGTGTGCGATACGCATGTCCCAATTTCTCGATGCGCTAAATTGCATTAAATGACCCTCCCGCTATAAAAGCAGGCCCGGAAAAGGGCTGGAAGGAAAGTGTGGTGAAAAACCCATGGTGACGAGACTGGATGATGTGTGGCCGTTGATCCGATTCTGGGCGTTACTGAAGTTCCGACCAGAATGGTATTTGGGCTTGGCCGCTTCGGTGGAGCGTTACGAGGAGGTTTGGGAGTATCTAGAAAGGAACCCCGTGAATTGGGAAAGTTTGGCTACGGAATTAATTAGATTGAAGAGATTGGATGTCATGGAATCCTTCCTTGGTCATTGTCGTTACGGACCTTGCGTGCTTGACGGTTTGTTGGGTTCTGGTTGTAGTTTACTAATTCGGTTGATCAACGATGCCGATTTGCGAACCCTGGAGTGCATCTTGAGGTGCGCAAAGACTTACTACGACGGCGATTTTATGAGCAAGTTCTCTTATGTGGTTCTCCGAACTGTCTCTAGAGGCTTGACGGACGTCTGGAATCTCTTTTACGAAGCGGGATTCCATCCCATTACGGCGGATGATGACTACCTTTCTCCACTCGCAGTAGCTTGCCGCACGCAGCAATGGCCCTTAGTGTCAGTGATGCTACGCCAGCAACATGCGATCATGTGCAACTTAGGGAAGGTCCTTCTCCCGGACCGGGACCTTCCGGCGACGGAGTGCCCCCCTGTAGTGGGAGAGCGCACTATCACAGGGAGAGAACTGCAATTGGAAGACAAGACTTGGCACTCGGTGTTGTCTAGTGGTCGCTACGACTTGTGGAGTCAGATGGTGAGAGTTGGTCTTCGACCCCCAGGTCTGATGCGGTGGAATGGCGACTCCGGCAAGTCGTGGTTGATGATGGCTGTGGAGTCCTGCGACGCTTCCGCAGTCCGATTTGTCTTGGGGCATTACCCGCTGGAGTTGCACTGGGTCAATTCGGACGGTGAGAACGTGAGCCATTATGCGGTTCGTTCCTACCCCCGCATTAGTCTGGATGTCCTCGAATTGCTGCTGGACAGCTTAGTGGACTTCGGACAGCCGGACAACCAGAACAGGACAGGACTGTTTAAAATCATGGATGGGGGTTACCCCTCCGTTTCGGCTCCCCCTACTCCCCGGGAATCGGGTCCTTCTACCCCCTCGACCTGCACACCCTCGACTTCCCTACCCTCCGCCGCTGCGAAGGCCCGGCGCTGTGTTGATGGTCATTCTACATGTGACTGCGACTCGCGTCACGACTGCCACCACCGTGCACTGATTAAGAAGGTCATACAAGTTTCTTCTGTGCACGTACCTTCCTTCTTCAAGGCGTGCATTTTCCACCCGCGGGAAGTCATTCAGACCTTCTTGGACCGCGGGTACCCGGTGCTCTACACGGACGCGGAGGGCTACTCGTGTCTGTGGCATAGCGCCAGACACGGGCGGTATGAGATCACACGTCTTTTGCTGGAGACGGCCAAAGCGGAGATCTTCGCCGGCAAGCAGGACTGCTCTGCTCAGGGCAGAAATAACAATGAGAGCAGCAACGAGACTCCTGAGTGCAATAATCGGTTGGCTGAGATCTTGACTGCGAAGACCGTCAGCGGGAAGAGCGCTCTAGCGGCTTGCGCCAATGAGACCATTCTCCAGCTCCTGCTAGAGTATGCTGCTCCGCGAGAGACGGCGTCCAGCGAAGGAAATTAGCACCCTCAATTAACATCAGCGCTGTGTGCTGTTTTGTCGTTGGACTTTGTCTCCATGTCGGCGCTACTGTCCCCTGATTCAACAGCACGGGCTCATGGTTTGTAGAACGGGGGGTTTAGGGGTCGGAGTGCGTTTTATAAAATATGCCCAATGTGATCAAGGGGAAGTTCGAGCCGTATTGTTGTCTGGAAGTTTTGCAGGTGGGTTCCTTTGCGAGTGACATCTGTGTTGTAGGCGTGTCTGGTAGGGAGTGTTCGGCTCGGCGTGGGCCTGTTTACGGGGAGTGTGGTGGCGATAAAGTGTGTGCTGAGTCTGGGAAAGGAGAGTTTGGAAGGCAGCAGCTTGCCGGAGACGCCTCTGGCTGAAGTGTTTTTTTCTCGTACCCTATCGGATTGTCCCAGCTTCGTCAAGGTGATTGAAGTGGTCCAGCAGGGCGACTCTCACTACATCATTACTGAGTATGCCAACGGCGAAGATCTAGTGGAGCTTGTAAGCGGTCCCCGAAGGCACTGGGCGAGTAACCCGGACGCAGTGCCCCCCCCCCCTGGACGCAGTAGACGCCTCCCGGAGGGACGCAGTGGACCCTCTGTGCTCAGAGGGTTTGTTCTGTAGGCTTAGTGTGTTCTGTGCCCTCAGTGCGTTCTGTGTTCAGTAATTTCTATGTTCAGTGTTTTGTATGTAGTTGAAGCAGTACCCGGGTGGGGTAGCTGAGCCGGTGGCGGCTTTGACCATTCGTTACGTGACGGAGGCAATTCTGTGTTGCCACCAGAAGGGTATTGCGTTGCAGGACTTCAGTTTGGAGAACTGCTTATTATGTGTGGCGGGTGTGAGTGGAGACTGCGAGGTGAAGGTCTGTGACCCAGGCCAGGCGTGTGTGTATCGCACACGAACGTCTGGCACGGCCGGATCAGCTTCGGCGTGGACGTCGCATTTTGGCATGGTGGGGAAGCAGTTCCGGCCTCCAGAGATCTTCGAGATGCGTTCATACGATCCGACAAAGGTGGACTCATGGTGCCTGGGCTGGGCGACATGGTACTTCCTATATGCGTCGGCGATTTTTGAGACGGCTACTTTAGACGACGAACGGTACCAGCTATTCGCGAACGGAGACATTGCCGGGTTATTGCGGAACTGCTGCATCGAAAACGCTTCGGACTTGGCTGTGGATTTTGTGCTCAAGCTCATGGCTATCGATCCCGCGCGGCGCATGAGCATGCAGGAGGCCTTGGCACACCCTTTCCTTGCGCGTACAGCCGGAGCCAGCCAGCTCAACGTGCATATGTTCCCCTTCCCGGTCGAGCCCAAGCCGCCGCCCTCTGCGCTCAAAATAGCGCTCACGGGCTTGTCGCTCATCAAAGAACCTCTTGACCGATTCAAATCCTTCCGCTACCTAGCCTACAGCTTCCCCGAACTGAGTCAGGCCCTACTCTGCGTAGACGACGCCCTCCGAACTAGTCAGGATACCGCGTCGTGCTGGCGGACTGACGCTACCACGGTCTCCAATTTGCTACCACCCGGCGACTCGGCCACGAAGGTGAAACTGGGGCAGGCTAAGCCTGTGGGCACAAATGCGTCCCTACTCTCCTCGGCCGAACGGAGGTGCCGTAAAACCCTTGAGAAAATCGCTCAACACGCGCCTTACATACCCTCCTACTATACCAAGACGTTGATGCCGCTCCTATGCAACTCCTCCAAACCTAGTTGCACAATTCGATACCTCAATGATAAGCCGAAATCCACCATGGACTCCTCCCTGATGAGCGCCAGTCTGCCTGGCCAACGGGCCATTTCCAAGGGTGCAAGGACCTCTCCTAAGGTCAGTTCTGGCTTCGTTGAACCCATCTCCGCAGCGAGGCTGCCCATATCCCCAGCCACGAGCACTGCGACTGGAGAATCCAGGCACTCCGCATTTATTGGACAGCCATCTCGACTAGACCAGCCACCTCGTTTGGACCAGCCATCTCGACTAGACCAGCCGCCTCGTTTGGACCAGCCATCTCGACTAGACCAGCCATATCGACTAGACCAGACAGCGTTCGACCAGTCACGAATCGATACAGCGCGACTAGATACGGCTCGATTGAATACAGCACGGCAGCCCATGAGCATTTCCACCCACAGTTTCGAGATATACAAGCAAAGCGAACGTGAGGCTTCAGGTCATTCACGGGACCTCTCAAGTCACGACCTACGCGACCTCTCGCCGCGATACTCGGCCGAAAAATCGACATCCGCGGGGGCACCGCGTGGAGCGGACCGAAACTCGCGGCTATCCAAGGCCAGCCGGTCGACAGAGAGCTTGCGGGTTCGAGACCGTGTGCGAGAGATCAGTCGCACACTGGAAGACGCACCTGGCAGGAGAGACGACTCCATGAACCAACGGTCGGCCCGCGGGGAAACCCGGTTCACTTCCAACCACCTACTGACCAATTATCAACTGACTAGCCACCAGCTGGCTAATCAGCAACTAACCGGCCAGCAACTGACTGGTCAGCGGCCGAATCACCAACTGACTGGTTCGAATCGCCAGCTTCCTCATCATCAATTGAGTAGTCACCCACTGCAACTGAGTAGTCCCTCCCTCCAGATGAGTAGCCACCCACTCCAAATCAGTAGCCACCAGCTCCCCCCTAGCCGGCAGGTGATGAACGACCCCCCGACGCACGGCCACTCACCGGTAGGTAACCACGGGCTCAAGATGACGTTGTTCCAGCCACCTCCCCGGACCGCGACGCGACCCGTCCCACTCACCCAAGACCAGCCAGCTCCGGGTTCTGCCCGCAAGAGCGAGAGCCACAACCGGGCTCTCGGCTTCGACCGGGTCCAGCGGGACGTGAGTACCGTCGCCACCACTACACCCATGACTCGAGAAGTGGGGCCACGGGAGGCTACCCAGCGTGAGGCTAAACAGCGAGAAGCTATCAAACGAGAAGCTATCAAACGAGAAGCTATCCAACGAGAAGCGATCCAACGGGAAGCGAGTCAGCGAGAGCAATCGGGACATGTCTCATCGGATCGTTTGGGAGATCAGGTGGGGCGCGGGCAGCCACGGTTGCAGCATCAGAACAGCAGCCTGCTCAAGTCCTCTGTGTTGAAGTCTCCTGCGAACATCAGCGAAAGCACGAAGCTCGGTGAACAGCAGCGGAGAGGCGAGGGGGCGAGGAGAGAAGGAGCGAGGAGAGGAGAGGTCTCTGCGAACCTCTCGGCGCCGGCGGAGCCCCGGCCGAGAGTTAAGGGGCCGCCCATGCTTGGCACAACGCCTAGCAACCAGAAAGTGCTGTATCGGCCCTACGTCATGACTGAGCCCGCGGGCGATGAGGAACTCAAGTTGCGACGAGTCCTGCACCCGACCTGAGTCTATGGCTTGCACGATCGCTCTAATCACCGGCTCTCTTTTTTTAACCCAATGACCTACTCTATTGCGGACGACGTACTGGAGGACCTGGCGGAAGGAGGTAAGTCCCAACCACGCAAACACCGCCTAATCTGCAGACTTCCCTAACCTGCAAATTTTACTCGATGAATTCGACCAGCGATTCTTCCAGACAAGAGTCGCCCCTCGCTGTATGCCACCCCCCCCCCCC